AAAAAAAAAAAAAATTAAAAAAAATTGGTGCTTATACACTTCAGTTTGACTCATAAGTTCTAAAGTGGCTCAGCACTGAAGAGAACTGTGACAGGAACAGTCAGCACGGTCACTTCACGGTATTATATAGCCCTTACCTGGTAAAAAAGCTTGTTTCATGGTCTTAAGTACTTCTTGCTCCATGGTTGAATGCGTTAAAATAGTGGTATTGACATTCCCTTAAGGAAGCATCTGCTGTTGGGAAAAGCAAGCCGGGAAAAGCCCGATTTCATCTGTTAAAATAGAGATAAATGGAAGCGGGGGTGTGCACGGCGGGGTGGAAGTGCTGCCCCGTTGCAGACATCACCAGCAACAAATACTGCTAGCAGCAGCTGATTTGGAGAGCAATTTGTCAGCGTGCCTTTATTAACTGAAACCATCAGTTTTGGTTTTCCTCCTGCTTTAAGGTGTTTTGCAATAAGGAGAGCATTGCATAACGTTTGTATTTAACTGCTGACGCTTAGCGGAGGTTGGCTGGTTTGGGTGTGTTACTGGCCTCTGGGGAGCAGCACACCATTCGTGGCAGATGCAGCGTGTCGGCAACAAAACTCACATCAGGTGAAATTCAGCATTAAAGTGTTTTTTGCATTAGCAGATCTGGATTTTACTCCAGAGCAGTTGCCAAAAAGGAACTCTTTAATAATCAGTGTTTCAGCTAAATATTAAAACCAGTAGCCTTGCCTTTTGTTGCCATAAGTAATGCATTACAGGACTTCTCAGTAGTGAAATTGAGCTTTGCCCTGGATATTTTTCCTGATTGAATGCCAATTCAATATCAAAGCAACAAAGGAGAGCACTTAACTGAGCACAGGACAGCAAAAACGGAAGTCAAGCAGTCTATATAGAGAGTGTGAAATCTGGTAAATCATGTCATTCACAGCCCAGTTTTCTCTCCTCCTGCTGCCACTTCCCAGCCAGAAGCCCCCAGACGCCCTTGCAAGGTCTCATGGAATAAAATCCTGACAAGGCAGCGCTTGTTGGGAGGTGGCAGTGGAAGGGTGACTTTGTCATTTTCTTGGCTGGCATCGTGCAGCTCTCAAAGGATGGGTATGAACTCGTTGGGAAGGCAGTGACATGATGAGGTGACACGCATGGCCCAGAGGAGCAGCGTGACAGCATTGGTGGAGCCAGGGATGCAGCAAGGCTTCACAGGGAGGAGTAATGGTGTTTCTGTCCCAAGCCAGGTGAGATCAGTGGGCAGGAGGACTTGCAGGCGTGAAGACTCCCAGGGACTCACACTGATAGGGACAAACCTAATTAGGTCTGACTCAATTATCAGATTAGTGCTTTTTTAAAGCCTCCCCTCTGGGGCTGTCTTTAAGTGATGCTGTACACAGGACTGCAAGTTTGCGTTTGGTAGAAATTTTGCTTTATTTAAAAGCTTGAAAAAGGATGATGCTACCTGAGGGCAAGCTCTAAATCTCAGACCTTAACCCGCCCTTGTGGTGAGCCATTACAGAGGCCACAGATACACCCAACAACATCATCTAGTTTACATTCCTTGTGTTTTCACTTTGCACAGAAGTTGGAAACTGCATTCTTTCCTTAAAAGGAGGAGACTTTAAAACAAAAATTGAACTCAAATTAGAAGTTTAGCTTGAACTTTTCAGACACTGCTATCGAGAAAAGTCTGTGCACCCTATGTTTACGCTCTCCTGGACCTGTTAAGATCTACAAGCATCAAAAGCTGTGGTCTAGTGGGGGTTTGATCTCTTAAGAGAAGGAACTTCCACTCACAGAACAGGCAGACAACTGCTGCCATAGTGTGCATGACCATATAAAGTGTTCAAGAGGAAAAAATGGTTAGTTCATAACTTCTTCGTGATTCATGGTTTCCTCCAAGTCATTACTCTGGTCCAGTGTCATTTTCTTACACACATAGCTCCAGAGCTGTAGAGGGGAACAGCAGGAAGTTCACCGGCACTTGGTTCAGTTGGCTCCAAGCTAGTTCAGACACTTCCAGGGTTGTGAGGTAAAATATTTGGCATAAAATAAGTGGGAAAATAGAGTTGCAGGGGAAAGTTAAATCAGGCTCACTGAGCAAGAAGCTTCTCTGTTCTCTAGGAATTCCCACCACTTGTGTTCCTGGCCAGCCAGCGTACAGAGGGTGGTAACAGAAGTGGGGTTGTTTCTCTCTTAGCAGGACAACGACTGGTGGCTGCCTCCGTAAATCTCGTGGGTATCTGCAGCCTAGACATGTTTCAGAGCTCGCATGCCTGGGGAGATGGTATTCAGTGATCTCAAGATTATTTTCTAATTAAAGGAAGTTAGTAATACTAAGAATCAAACTTACTAAAAATACAATTTATCGGTAAAGACTGGAGGCAAGGCACTAACTTGCCTGCCTTTCTCTAATAAAACCAGTATTGAAACAGTTAAAGTGGTCTTCAGTTGACGCTGTTCACCCGGGGGTAGGGAAGCCCCTTTCCAGGAATGCAGGGTGGAGAGGAAATCCACTGCTTTCTCCTACTTTGTCTGCTTTTTCACACCAACCCAAGCCTTTATCAGAAGCTGATGTATTTAGTGACTCCCTTTCCTGACGAGATGAGTCGGAGGCAGGAGCGGTTTTTGAAAGAGCGACTCAGAGCCCAGAGCATCAGCAGGACCGGGAGCCCAGCCAGGCGTGGCAGAGCCCTGGGGAGGCTTTGCTGAGCACCCTGCAGGGCTCCCGGAATTCCTCTCCCACCGAGCACCCCCAGACTCTCCTGGAGCAAAGGGACTGCCTGGGAAAGCGAGGCAGCGGCTGGCCCATCCTAGTGCTGCTCCTTGGAGCAGAGAAGTTCAAGGTTGGTAAGTTAGCCTGCAGCGGGTACAAGGTACAGCTCAGCTGGTGAAGGATCCTGCGGGCAGTTTGTGTTGCAGTGGGCTTGGCATTATCAGGTAGAAATCTTAAATTTTAACTAAGACACTGATAACATGGAAGTGGTTTTAGCTGTTGTAAGTCATTGAGTTACTGCCTAGATCATTTCACTATCAATGTTATTTACCAGACTTGAATATTTGATGTGCTTTAATCAAGCTTTCCTAAGCATTTAGGAAGACTTGTGTTTATATATTTAGCAATATGTTTGATCTTTGGGACTTATTCCTGATAGTGCCTTGCTTCAGAGAAATGTAATGCTGTAAGAACTATCAGAAGCCTCTAACAAAGTCATTATAAGTCCACTTTAATAGATGGGGTAAGGGAGGGATAGGAGTCAAATGGTTACCAGTGGTCAGTAACTTGAATTGGTGCTGGGGCTCAGATTTTTGTCATTAGTGATGTTTCTGTGCTGCCTGGTAGATAGATGTTCAGCCTGTTTTGTCTACATGAAAATGGTTACATTCCTCAGGCATAAGTCTGGTTATTTTCCTGGTACTCACTTTTAAATGTAGCTAATCATACCGGCTCACATTCTTCAGGACTGATGTAGTAATAACAAATCCATTTACTAGATCTGGAAAGTTTTGTGAAAGACAGTTTAGATACTGCTTTGAAAGTTGTTGGCTTCATGTTTTCAAATTTAATTTAAACAACTGCATGGTTTAAAAGTTAACAATTCTTCCAGATTCCACACAAGTAAAAGCTTTCCCACAGTAGCATCTACCCCGGCAAATCCAGGGGCCAGTCTTTTCAGTTCATCTCATGCTCTAGCCTTGAGTTTACCAAAATGGCACTTGCAGGGCTTGTTTCAGTATTGCCTGCAGAAGCACAACCAGATTCACACCGAAAAGGAGATTTTATTGTGTCTAGATCCAGGGGCACACAACAATTTTACAGGTAGATTGGTCTGAGCTTTAGTGCTGAGACCAAGAGGTCAAGACTTTAAGTCCCTTCTCCAGCAAGTTCAAGTTACTTTTTCTCAGCAACTAATTTACACCATCCTTTCTCTTTAAATATAAAGAAGTTTTCAAACCCCTTGTGTGGGGCAGAGTAAACTGGGTTGTGCTGTGAACCATGAGTCATTACAGATCATTCTGCATATGAAGCTGTGCTCTTTGGGTGGATGCTGAAACTGATAGGGCTTGACAAACTCAAATAGCTGCAGGACTTCCCCTTTTGTTCCTTTCCAGGAAAGGATCATTTCACCTGTAATGCTGTTAAAGCTGTTCATTTATAGCCTGCATCTAGTCATTTGGGGTGAAGGCTGCAGCAGCTTTAGCAGGTTTTCAGCTCTTGGAAAAGGAGGTGGGGAATGCCTTGATGATTGCCATCAGCACTGCCTGCTCCTCCTTTTGGGCAGTCAGGGCCTTGCTGTCTTGTAAGGATTTCCACTGGGGTTGATTGTGACTCAGCTTCTACAGCCCTGCCTCTGGCTCCAGGATTTCACCACGTTAAGAGTTTGCTGATGGCCTGATGGAGGCTGGCAGCTCCCTTGAGCTGGCAGGTCCCCAAGGTCCTCACCACGCTGTGCCACTCCTAGAGCTGGGCAGAGTCAAAGCATCCCAAGCACCCCAGCAAATCCATCCCAGTTGTTTGTCAGGCTGGATGCAGTTTTGACAGAGCAGGTGAGGGGCACAGTAACATCAGCATTATAACAGCAGTCATTTAAGATATGCATGCAGGGCTAATTTTAAACACTGGTTTCCTGAAACTTCTAAGAAGTGGAAGTGGTTAAATTCAAGAGCAGGTTTCTCGGCTTAACTGGTGCATAAACCTTCTCATTTATAGGTTTGTGCTATAACAGCTAATCACTGCCACAATGACATCTTCAAGCCCTGCCCAGCACCCAGCAGCTGAGAATGCCTGCAGAATTACACTTGGACAAGTTAACCAGGTAATTATCTCTCCCACTTGCCTTCACTGCTTTCTCCTCACTAAAGCAGTGATTTCTTCCATCAAATCAAAGCTCTCGGAGTACATTAAAGTAAGAAGAATTTAGCCTAATGGAGTAGGGATTTTACACTGAGGAGCTGTGTTAGCTTTCACTATCAGATCAGTGATTTATGAACATTTTAAAGGGGGAGGAGGGGAAAAAGCAGTTAAACCTGGCCATACAGGAAACTGTATCCTGCATATTTTTCTGCTGGACCTGTACTTGAACTATTCCACCGACAGCATTCCTCCTAGTGCTGGCTTTGTGACAGTGGTATCCGAGCTTTGTAACCTTGTATGCCGAACTTTGTCTAGCCAGTAATGTGTCCCCATCCCTTTTTTTGGGGCTACTTAGGTAAATATCAAACATGTAGTACTCGCATTCTTCACTTTTCCCAGAGTGTCCCTGAAACCAAAGGTAGGGGCAGCTGCGAGCCAAGGCCAACGTGGCAGATGTGTGGTTTGAGTATGGCTCAACACCACATTGGCAGCCAAGTCAGAGAAAAGAAATTTGCAAACAACAAAAATAGGAATCTGGTCTAAAAATCAGGATTGTTTCTGCAAGACAGGCATTCAACCTTCCCAAGCCTATTAATTGGAAAAAAAAAATCTCCACAATATGAGAGGATGTGGAAGGAGTGGAAATAAGCTGATGGGAAGTTGAGAGATCCTCCTATTTGAGGCTTAATTTAGAACCCATTTTGAGGCTTAATTTAGAAGCTTTGGAATGTAGCCAAGTCCTATGCAGAATTGATGTATATGCTTATTTGTTCAACTCCGCATGAAAAAAATCAGTAAATAGGCTCTGATATTAGTAGCAAAATATTGATTGTCGACACTCAGTGTCCTAGGCAGTGCAAAATAAACACTTCCATTTTAGCTGTACAGCAGTAGCTAAGGGCCCATTTTGAAATGATCAGGCTAACTAGGTTACTTCTTTAATCAGAGAGAGATGTATAAGAAGTTACTTCAAAATCTATTTGAGAGTGGTCATTAGAGAAATGAATGAACGTAAACACATAATTTCATCTTATTAAAACCCATGTGCTGATACAAGCACTTATTTCAGTTGTGCTGAGCTTTTTTCCTAGCAAAAAAGCTGTTCTTGTGAAAGAGACTCGGGGGTGGACATGAGCTGTTCTGTTTGAGCATGAAAATGCTTTTAACAAATACAATAACAAGAAAACAGGCAGACCAGACACATTCACAGAAGAGATGAGCTCTTTTTTGTTTTTTTTTATAATATTAGAAAACAGTGGAACAAATGCCTTGCCAAGATACTGTCAGGTAGCTGAGTGACAAATTGCATGACAAGCAATCCAAACCTGCTCTTACCTTGTGCAGAAAAATGCTGTTGCAGCTCAGGCTGACTCCTGAGGAGGTGTTACAGGGCTGCAAGCAGGCTCTGCTCCTTGGGAAGGGAAGGAGGGTTTGCAATTGCATTTATATAGGCAGAAAGGAGAGGTGAGTATGAGACACAGGTGAACGACCTAACATTGATAGGTAAGGGCTTTTCCTACCTAGCATGGGTTACGTGCCTTGAGAAAGGGGAGACAGCAACGAACACGGTGTGCTGAGGACTGGGCTTTCTGTCCCGTTACAGCTTGAAATACCTTGCTGTATTAGCATCTGATAGACAAGGAGAACAGAGGAAGAGGTTCAGTGTGGGAAATGTGTACAATATTGTACACGATTGTGTAGCATTCAGAGAACAGTGAGGGCTTTCTGACATTTTCAGGGAACATGAGGCATCACATCATGTGGTGGCACTCTCCTAGGAATTGTTAAAATTCTTGTGGAGTAGATGAAGTAGCAACATAGGGGGGAAGTAGCTATTTAAAACTCGCTGCTGTTTTATATAGCATCATCTGCCTCATCTGCTACTCAAAAGCTGCTTGGGGGTGTGGGTGAAACCTAAAGGGCTTGTGGAGCAGTTGCATCGTTCCCAGAGTGCTTTATATTTTATGTAATGAGGATTTTGGTTGATGGGTGAGATCCACAGAAAATACAGGTTCTGATCCCTAGTGGTAATTAACCACACCTTGTGTTTAATGGAGCCTTATTATGAAGTGTCTGTTGATGGATCCATACTTCCTAAGGTTTGTACAGAGCTGAGCCGATTTGTTCACTGCACTAATTGAGAAAATTCAGGCATGCTGCTCTTGAAGTGGTCAGTCTGAATGCCCCATCATTTCTCCTAAATCTATGACTCAGTTTGGTTAGTCACTGTCTAGGGCTCCATACCAAGGGTCTGAGTTTCCAACCTTCCCTCACAGGATGAATGACATCGAAGTTAATGAGACAATGTGAGTGATTAAAGCCTTTAGAGCTGGCTGCCCAAATTCCTTGGCTTTTTTTTGTCTTGCACTTGAGTCAGAATGATTGTGCTGATTTTCAGTCTTTCTAATTTCTTTTTAACCGATTGTCCATGCAGATTACTTGCAAAAAAAAGAATACCAGCCTTCAGCAGGTTAGCCTGAGGCAAGCAGTGTTTCCCCATGACCTCCAACTCATCCCATGGTTGTCAGCTCTCTGCTTGGGTTTCTTAGCTTGGGTTTCTTAGCAGTGTGTGCGCCAGTGCTTTCTCTCAGCAGGACGCTGCTTCATGGCATTCAAACAAAACTCTTGTGATTTATGTTTTAGGTGCGACCCAAACTGCCGCTTCTGAAGATTCTGCAGGCTGCAGGTGCCCAAGGTGAAACCTTCACACTGAAGGAGGTGGGCACAGTTTCGAGGCACTGGAGCTGTGCCTGTCCCTGGTTGCTGTTTTTCTGTGCTTTGAAGCCCTATCTGCAAAATAGGGATGCTTTACCTGTAAGGCTGTTGTGATTTGGTTGATCATAAATTGTCCTGAGAGCCACCAGAGGAATTGGAATAGCAGTGTGAAATATTAAAGAATATTATTTATCCTGGAAAATCAGAAACCTCTTTAGAGAGAGATGGGATAGCCACGTTCCTGAGAGCTTGTAGGAGATTCTGTTCGATTGTCTTGCTCTCTGCTCAGTGCATGAAAGCCTTAAAAATTGAATTCTAGTTGATATTTTTCTTGAACTTGCCTTTGAAATGGCTTGTCAGATCAACCTAAGAGACCCTGTGAATCCATTTATTTGAAGATTAAAATGCAATATGTGTACAAGATTAAAAAAATGACACTGACTGTGATTTACAAGAGTATCCTGTCTGCAAAGAATTAAATGCAGTGGTTTTTCATTATGAATGTGTCAAATATTCCTGCAGAGCCCTGTGACTTATTTTAAACACTTATGCATTTAAATAACTTATTTAGCTTCTAAAAATTTTTGCAAAAACAAATTGAATGGTTTAAATGGGGGGAGTTGAGTATTAAATGCAGGTTACTTGTATAGATTAACATTTTAACTCGGCTAAGTCAGTTTTTTCTGCAGCGAATGGAGTACTGTTAGCAACTTTTTGGTGACACTGTCATTCAGGAGGGTCACATTGGTGGGTAATGGGGGGTGGAACCTGCACTGTATTATGTTTAACTGTCCTTTGCTTTCTCCTCTTGTGCTCTGGATTCCTCGCTGTAGCCGGCAGTGTTTGCTAGCTCTCAGAGGCTGTTTGCTCGCCATCCTTCGCGATACTCGTGCATTTAGTTTTGCATCTTGCAAACTGCCTCCCGAGGGACAGCACCGTAACCTGTGGTCATCCTTTAGTAATACCTTATTCTTTTAATTCCTCCCCACCCATTTCTTTCTCTTCTTTACTCTGAGTTGAACAGCAGCAGTCTCCCATCTGCGGCTCTCACTGAGGGAGACTGCCCAGGTAAAAGTGTCATCACCCATGTCGTGTTTTGTTGTAATGCGAGGTAGCAGAGTGACTTCTGTTGATCCAGCTTCGATTCGTTTTTTCCTTCCTGTCAAGGGTTAATAGTTACAAACCTTATAGCAATATGGTAAAGCATAACTCTCCCTTGCTTGGGAGGCGCCGACAAATTGCAGATGTGCATATTCACGCTGTATAGGGTAGCAGGAGGCAAGTATCATAAAAGTACAGCAAATTTCCAGGGTCTTTGGTGATTTGGTTTCAACTGCAGATATGGCTAATGGTATGTTCTGTATCCACAGGTGATGCATTACCTAGGACAGTATATAATGGTGAGGCAGCTATATGACAAAAGACAGCAGCACATGGTCTATTGCGGAGGAGACCAGCTTGGAGAACTGCTGGGACTGGAGAGCTTCTCTGTAAAAGATCCCAGGTAGGAAAAAGTGACCTTTAACGTATGTTGTATTATAGAGGCTGCTGAGACAGGAGACTCTTGGTGTCACTGTTTCTGTTCAATGTCGCATAAACCGCTGTGAATACCAGGTACCCTGCTCAGTGGCTTACTAGTAATGCATTTGACAAGTTTGAGTTTGGCTCCTTTGTTCTGAAGAGCCAGTTCTGAATGGTCCAGGCAGTGAGCTGCTTGAGGTGACATCTTTTCCCCCTTTTATTTCTGCATCTTCTCAGGCCCTCGATCTCACACTTAAGCAAAAATCTGCATCCTTCTGTGAAGTTCTGAGCTGGACTTCTCTGTATCAAGCATTTAGGAGTGGCAAAACCCCGCCACTGCAGTTTCCAGTGTCTCTCTGAATAATAAAAGAGAATTTCTTTTTTTTTTTTGTGAGTATACTCAACTGTCGCCCTCTTTCCCACAGCCCAGTCTATGACATGTTGAAACGGAACCTGACTTCTGCTGCAATGACAGGTAGGTTTGTCACAGTATGGGCAAGTATATTCAATAAAGTGTTGATGTAAGTTGGGTAAGTAATGATATTCAGAAAAGAGAAATGTGTCTGAAGTTGGAACAAACTGCTAACAAAGGCTTTGACAAGACAATCTTTTTGAGTATGTGTCTTTTCTGTGTGTCCGCTGTCAGTAGCTGTGATATGAAATCAGTTAGCTGTTTGAGTAACGTGGCTGCCTATAACCCATGGCCAAACCTTGGAGCAGCAGACACGCTCTGTCTGGGAGCACGCCAACAGAGCTAGATACTGTGGATGTACAAATCAGCGTGGTTGAAGTATCCCATCCAAGTCATTGATTTCTCAGTCTTTTCTCAGTTTCATAGCATGCTGCGACTTCTTGCTCTCACCTCGTTTTATACTTTCATAGTCTTGAGACTGAATGTAAGAGTGCTGGAAACCCAGCTTAGTTCTGCAAGCCAAAGAGGTCCGGACTTTAATTGAACACTTGAACCTTTAAAGGTCACTGTTACTTTCCCAGCTCTTAAGAGCAATCAAATCTATTTACATCAAAAGTCCTTCAGTCATAAAATAAAGTTTATTCTTAAATTAATCTCAGCTGATGGCTTCCTCGCAGCCAGTTTCCATTGTATGGCTGGTAATCTTCATTTGAAAAAAACTTCTGATGAAACTACAACTGTGCAAATCATGAAGGAGCTGCACTGGGAGCGTTGGGGAGTCCTGTGCTGTACTTCCTGGGGTCTCTAAGCAGATAATATGGACTTAGTTCTTCATAAGGGCTTAGTCTATTTTTGCACATGTACATAAAAGCTTGTGCAAATTTAGAAACTGAGAAAACATGGCCCTAAACTGCTTAGACCCCTGCTTTGAGCCATGTATTGGTGCCTCTGAGGTCCCTCTCCTTTCTCCATTTACACAGAAGAATTTTCCTAAGCAGACTCTTGCCTAAACACACTACCTACAGAATAACTGTGTGAGTGCTGTTCCCCTTGCTGGTGATGCCTCTTCCCTATAGGCAGTGTATGTGGAGAGCAAAGGATCCCAGCGAAACACTCCTCTGCTGCCCTGGCCCCTTCTACTTGGTGTGTGCACGCGTCTGTGTGCGTGTGGCTGGGTGTGCGTGTATGGTCCAGTCATGGTGTAACTATTTTTAAACCTGCCAAAGGAAATACTGTTCCTTTAGGGAGATGATCACTTGAGTTATACCACCGTGTCTGCTTGTGTGTGTGTGTGACTATAAAACGAAACAAGCTTGGCAGACCAGACCTTTGACAAATCCATAGGAAGGGTGATTCTTGGTATTGTTTTTCCCTTCATTGCAACATCGGAGTAACTGGAAGTGCCACAGGGCTTAAAGAGGGCTTCACGTCTCATGTTTTGTAATAGCTGCTTGTATTCATTAGCCAAATCAGTGCTTATCAGCAGATCCTTTTGCAGATTATCTTGGCCACTTCTTTTAAGGACACTTGCAGAAAGAAAAGTGTATCTCGCTAATAAAGCCTGAGCTCTTACACAGTGCTCTTTATCAGATGGTGTCCTTCCTGGCTAGCTTTCACTCCGTGGGACTCAGTGAGGCCTATTTAGGAATACCTCACCTTAAGGACATTTTGTATAGTATATGTTTGGCTTCAAAAAAGGAAGCCTTCCAATAAGTGGAGTGTCTTTTCACACATTGTTTAAGGCTAGTTCGCGTATTTGTAAAGTGTTAGGAGGGTAAGTCTTCACCTCTTCTAATGCCCCTGCAGAGCCAGAGCAATTAGGGATGAGCCAATTGGCTTCTGTTTTCCTTCAGGTGTTAAATAATCAGTGACTGCAGAAGCTGCAGGGTGATGGAAGGGAGGAAAGGAAAGCTGAACTAATGCATGGAGGGTAAAGAATATGGGATAGAGCCATGTCATCTTGTGGTCCTGTGTTTTGGCCCATTTTCTGGACCACTTAGTGGTCTACCTTTCTGCCTATAGCAGCAGCTTTTGGTGTCTTCATATCAGTGCCACGATTTGTGGTGTGAATTGGACTGTTCATCTCTGCCTGGCATCCAGCAGGGAATTTCTCTGCTAAGTTGAAAGGCGAGCAAGCAGGAGCCATCCTTGCATCTTTTGTTCTCTAGCAAGTCATTCTGTTTAAAGGGTAGACTTCCTAAGTGCAGCTCTCCTATTATGTAGAAAGATTTCTGTTAATTTGTTTGTTCTTGCTATTCAGGCTGGCCTTTTAATTAACTCTTGGGGCCAGCATAATCGTCTGGATTAGACTGTGTCATGGATGTGTACACAGTTACCCAGAAAAGAGCTTGCTGTGCGTGGAATTTTCCCTTCTTCAGTCTAGTTGTTATTCTTCATGCCAACAGCCTTTATGGAAGATGCTTTTCTTGTCTCGGCATAAGCTGAAAGAGATGGTGTCCTCAGGTATTTATAAAAATCTTACTCTTCTGTGTTCACCTTCTTCCACGTGGACCTGATCCAGCCTTCAAGTGAGAGTCCCTACACTCTGCTACTGCTCTGGGTTTCTGCCTCCGTGCAAAACTCTTGTGTAAAGGACCTAGAACTTGTGATGGGAGGACAGCCTGTAGGAAAAAGAATAGTTTTTCACACTGGGAAGAAGGTTCTTCCTACGTGCTGTGAGGTTTCATCAAACTTCATCTTTGAGGAGGCATGGACTCTCAATTCCGTAGGCTGATGCCTCCATATCTGTCTGGCAGAGCCTAGGGAATACTGGAGTAATGCCTCTCTAGGGGATGGCCAGCTCTCTAAGGAAGAAAGGGTTCTGTTTCCCTTAAAGGGTTACTTAGAGGTCTGCCAAGCCTGGCTCGTTGGTTGCTTGCTGAAGACCCTCTGTGTTGTGAGAATGGTTATTACCAGGGAAGGTTTTTTCTTTTGTTTTACCTGCCATCTAGATGCTGCACAGAATCTCCCAAAGGAACAGAGCGTCGATAAGCCAAGCCAAGACCAGCTGAAGGTAAACCCACTGCCTGGTGGTTTCTTTTGTTGTACAGAGTGCCCCTTCTCTGTACCTGTGCATGGTGGACTGCCAGAACTTTGTGCTGCTTGGCTGCCAGGTCCTCACCTTCCTGAAAAGTTCTTGGAGTCCACAGAACAGGGACAGAGTGACCCTTCTCTGTTCTCTTCATAACAGAGTACCAGTCTCTGAGCGCGTTTCTCTGGGGTGTAGCACTTCTAATCCTCAGTTCCTCCAGCGTGCTCTGTATTTTCATGTCTTTCCCCCCCTCTCTCCCATCCCCTCTCTGAGTAGGAATTGCCAAATAATTAAGCTTTCTAAAATGTGTGAACAAGTTTTGTGTTTAGTAGGATTGTTTTCAGAAGCTTTCAGGCAGACTCTGAAACCTAGGAAAAATCTTTGCCTGTTCAAACTTGTTTCCAGGTATATTTTGGGATTAAGGTGGTCTGATCCGGGAGGTGTCTGTTCACACTGGGGGCCAGAGACTCACAAAGATCACAGTATTACTGCATTAAAGATGGCAACTTTTGGACTTTTGCCAATCTTAAGATTTTTCCTAGGTTGCAAGTATATTGTTTGTGCTGATTACAGATGCATTAGCCTTCTTAAAGGGTTAATAGTGTGCAGTTTTTGTTCAGAAACATTCATTTCTCTTCATAACTTCTTGGTCTTGTACTGCAGCTGGTGACTCGGAATGGAAGTGCTACATCCCCTGGTCCCTACAAGCTCTGATGGACTAACATCTGTTTTTTCCTTCCTTCATGCAGTTTAGCCGGCAGGAGGGTTCTGACAGTGGCGTCATGGAGGGTGAAAGCAATGCTTCTGCTTTGTCTACCTCAGAGCAAAAATGTGAGAATTATGAAGGTGAGTGCCAGCTTTTCCGCAATAACGCCACGCGTACAAGCTCTCCTGCTCCTTCTCCAGTGTGACGCTTTGAGCCTCTGCGTCAGCAAAACGCTGGAGGAGGGTGTTGGAATTCCACCTGTTGTGGAACATAATCTTTAAAAATCATCATTTATGCTAAAGATTGAGAGAACTGCAAATGTTCACCAAAGGGATTTTATGATAGATGTGTTTTCTGGCTTGGATATTTGGTCTCATAAATAAACAAACATTTAGGATAAGATGGCAGGTTAAGCCCCAAAAGCACATCGCTCACTAAACAATGCCATGAAAAATCTTACAGACCTTGCTGAAGGGTATTTTAAATGCTGAAATTATACTTGTATCTATTTATCTTCCCAAGGGACTCTCTCCTCTGATTACATAGAACACAGCCTGAGCCATCTGCAGTCATTACCTGCAAACCAATCAGGGAACTGAATAACAATGGAATTTTTTTTTCTATCCAGCTTAAGTGTAATACAGCTCCTTCATATTCAGACATTTCCTTTGTTTTAATGTCTGGGGATTTCTTGCTGGTTCACTCATATGGATTTCTGATGTTACAGAGAAGCAATTTTCCTGTTTTTTCTACTTTCTATTCTCACGTCGTTCTCATATCAAGGAACCTAATTTGTAAAACCAAATCTTCTTTGCAAGTGTGGGTATTTCCAGATCAAATGGGAGCGGTAGCTATTTTCCTGGCTGCATGTACAAAAGAGGTAGAAACAGTCCTTGTCTGTGCCTTTGAAACTCTTGGCACTGGAGAGAGAGATTCAAGGTTATCTTGAAATTCAGACAGCTGAGTTTAGGATCATAGACTAAACTGCACGGGCTAAAAAGGAGGCTGAAGCATGGGGTTATGGAGGATGGATTCTTACCTTCCTGCATCCTGTTTGGAGCCTGCTTTGGGAATTCAGGAGCTCCCATCGCTGGAAATTTGAACTAAATTCAAGCAGTTCTTTCTGCATTTTAAGTCACTCGAGAAATCTACTCAGTGTTGACTTGGTTAGAGCTCTGAAAGAAGTGTTCGTGTTTCTGTATTGAGTCTTTAAGGTAAAGCTAAAGAGAACCTGTACTGCTATAGAGACACTGGGGTGCTTCTCTGACCTCTGATGGCTGTGCAGCGACTATTTTGCTAGGTTCACTTGGGTAGATACATGAGTACAGATGTCCGGCAGATCTCACATCCCAGTACACTCATACAAACCCCAAAGCTCTTAGCAGTAACTGGCTGTAAGAAGGAGCAAGAAAGATTTCTAAAATCGGATGGGGTCAAATTTTTCTCTGCTAGTCTCTTAAATAATGTAGGTGTGGCATGACTTAGATTCTACTTGGCTCTTACAGACAAAGACTTAATAGAAAACCTCTCTAAAAGCAAGAAGCCTAAACTGGACCTAGTGTTTGAGGAATGGGATGTAGCTGGTCTTCCATGGTGGTTTTTAGGCAACCTCAGAAGCAATTACAAGTCCAGAAGTAATGGATCAACAGATATTCAGACTAACCAGGTGTGTAGACATTTTAAATAGGTGCGCTGTATTCTCTTCCTCTCCTCTTTTGGGTTCCAAGTAAATAAAATATTCTTGTTCTTTCTTTCCCCTTCCCACCAGGATTTTCAGCCTCTCCCTTGTGTGTTCCTGTCCCAGCCTTTCGCATCAGGTGGTTGGTTACCTTTAGTGTTCTTTAAATAAACTAGGTGCTCTCTGAAGGCTGCGTTCAGCCGTTGGAGGTCCTTCTGCACTCCTGAACATTGGTTGTATTTCAGGAGTTGCCCCTCTTCCTGGGTCAAAAGTTGTTAACGCGGTGCAGATGGTTGTAGCGTGGTGGCCAGCTGCTGTCGGGCCAGCCAACAAGGGGAATGCGCATAGTGCTGCTTGCAAAAAGGGGTGTCTTCGTGAGAGTAGGGAGCTGCCCCTTTCTCTCCCAGGGGTGACTGGAGAAGCTGCCCAGGGCCGAGAAGGCTGTTAGTGAGGAAGAGGGGAGAGGCATTCGCTGTGGCGATGGCTGCGGTGCTGGTGTTCCTGCTGCTGCTAACCTGAGCTCTAAGTGGTTTCTCCCGTTTCTTTTCCAACAGGACATAGACACTGCCGTTGTTTCGGATACTACTGATGACTTGTGGTTCCTCAATGAATGTCCGTCGGATCAGAGCAGTGCTGCAGTCAAGGTGGAAACGGTTGACTGCGAGGAAGTGAAAGAAGGTGACAAAAAGGTACCTCTTCAAACAGCCGCAGTGAGTGTGTTCCACAGGTTGACCTTGTTTAATTAATCTCGTGGTGCTGTGCTGATTTTGGAGGAGCTGGATCTAGAACCATCCAGAGTTTAAACAGTGTTTAGAAAAGGCTGTCACCGTTCTGTGCACAGGTCGATGGCTTTCCTGTGTAGTCAGTCTGCTTGCCTTTTGGTTTAAATGCGTCTACTTTCAAGGCATAGAATTAGTTTAAAATTAATTAAAACTCTAGCAGACACTTTACTATATTTCTAGCCAACATCTGCAAGACTAATAAATGAAAAGACTAGAAGAGGAAAATCTCAGTTTACGTTGTGTCAGCATTCAGCGTAAGACGCGCTGGCCTGAGTCTGCCAGCTGAGGTGGCAGTAAGATTGGTCACAAGAGTAATTAATCAAATGCCTGTTAAAAGGATTGAGTTCATGATTTCTCCCATGGAAATCAGTAGGACCACCCAGGTGTGTATGTGTTTGTATTTGTATGATTCTTGTGTGCATCAGAGATGAGTTGACCACAGGCATATGCGACTGTAAACCAGCCCAGCACCAGTTACCATCATTCTGGAATGCACACAGTACATAAAATGGCTTTTCATTCACTTCTAGAAATGGCTGAATTCTCATGGCAATGATGTAGTCATTTTAATTTCGGTGTACAGTGCCCGGCACATCATAAATACAGATTATTGTGCGCCTCCAGGTGACCGAGGATGCATGTTTGCATGACTTTGAGGATTCTCAATGCTTAAGTGATGATACAGATACAGAAGCTGCTTCTGAGGTAGGCATCCTTTAGGTCAGCATTCCTTGCTTGGAGTATGCTGCAGTCAGAAAAACTCATCCTGCAGCTACTACTGGTTGTGGTAGGAGAAGCTGATTCTTGTATGGGTTTCAAAGGCCAAAAAAAAGCAAAAAAAAAATTAAGCCAAAACTTTTTTGTAACCTACTTGAAGGAATGTAGAGAAGTTGGCCTGACCTGGTCTGGTTTGTTTTGGATAGGGCTCTGTTAAATTCTAAACTGGATGGGGATTGAGCACTGGCAGCCCATGAGTGCTCTGACCCACCCAGTCCAAAGGCACCAAGCGTCTCTCTTGGCCACAGAGTGTTCCTGGAACTTAGGTGATTTCAGACACTTTTTGTAGCAATGGGAGAGGATTTATATGTGCTCCAGCTAGGAGACTAGGGGAGTCTTGTTTCTACATTGTTCGTCCCTTTTGTGCAGGGTAATGTAGTGTGGATTTTTCTGCGATACTTGCATGGCCTTTGTCAGGAGGAAAGCCTGTGTACCTGCTGGTGTAACGTCTTTGCCCTTGCAGTGCCTCTCTAAGGACAGATCACAGCTCTTTTCCCTGTTTAAATGAAAACACAAGGTGGAAAGAGAGAATAAGCAGTAATTACTGGGTTGTCGCCCTTCCCCACTATCCCATTCCTCTTCTGAATTCCCTCATGATGGATATTGAGGGACATCAAATCTGTGTTCTTTCATCTGTCCTTTTTTTCTCCCAGTCCTGCCGGCTGCCTTTTGAGGTTTTGTTGTAAGTCAGCAAAAGTGTATCGTGATACTCTGCAGCTGATGGCACCAGATTTTTTTTAGCATTGTTTTTTAGATTGTGCATGCTGGCAAATTCGGACTTCCCTGGCGTTGGACAGCTGACTCGTAGCTCTGAACATGGGCAGCTCTTGCCCTTGCTATGTGGGGTAATCAAGTAAGCTGCTATCAGTTGTGCAGATTCAACAGATGCTAAGTGATTAGCGAGTCTGGGAAATATATTCCTGACTGATTCCAGGAGCTCTACCCTTGAATTTGAAGTGAGATACTGAAAATTCAATAAACTGCACAGCTTGAGAACATTGTCTTCTTCCAGCGTGCTGAAGGCTGGGAGGAAGGAAGGACAGATTTTAATGCTTGAGAGATCTGCATCTGTAGAATGCACAGGGGGACTCAGAATTCTCTTTAGGCTTTCTGAGGTGCTGATAATCAAACTAGCAATCGTATATTCACAAGCTTACACTCGGTAATAAACGTCCTCTTTTGATGAAGCTTCTTTGCTGTTTTTCCTGTGTAGAGAAAATGAGTTGTACACAAGAATACACTAACCCACTGCTGGTTTTGTCTGCCTCAATCATTCCTCAGGACTGCTGGCAATGCACCAAATGCAAGAAATATAACTCTCCAGGCAAACGGTACTGTTACCGCTGCTGGGCCTTACGGAAAGACTGGTACTCAGATTGTCCCAAACTGGCTCATTCTCTTTCTCTGTCCAACATTGATGCTATGCAAAACAAAAATGATGATGAAGGGATAGATGTCCCGGACTGCCGAAGGACTATTTCTGCTCCAGTTGGCCAACCCAAAGACCTGTACATGGTAGAAAACAAATCACGTGTCGATCCCTGCAGCTCTATTGAGTCTTTGGATTTGGCACAAGAATGTGAAAGCAAGGAGTCTCTGTTGCATTTCACTGAGCATAAAAAGGAGGAAGAAATACAGTCTTTAGAGAGTATAAAAACATTACTGAATCCTTGCTTCTTATGCCATCACAGACCACGGGATGGGAATATTGTCCATGGAAGGACTGCTCACCTTGTGGCCTGTTTCAAGTGTGCAAAGATGCTGAAGAAAAAGAGATCGCCTTGCCCAGTGTGCAGGAAAGAGATTGAGATGGTGATCAGGATCTTTATGGGGTAGTTGTGCCACTTCAGGCCTGCTCCACCAAAAGATCGTACACAAGTTTTCTTGCACTCACACAAACCCTAACTTCAGAGCTCAGCCGGTGAATACCAAAGAGAATTAAGATTCAAATCTGACCAAGAACACCGAGGAATTCTCTGCGTTAAATGGAGCAGCATCCACTTTCCAATGTCCATTTAAATTAAAGCCCACAGGGAGTGACCGGCACGTTGGTATCAATGTCCTAATTTCAGCTCAGTGCTGTCACTAGGATTCTCTGTTTTGACAACTGTTCCTTGCAAAAAACAAGTTTTGGGGAGAGTTACAACGTTGGCTATTGGAATGTTGTTCTCCAGTAAGTCAAACCCTGTGCAATGCCTTCTAAGGGGGGAGTCTGCATCTGAGAGAGATATATATGCAGGGGTGGGGAAGGGGGGGAGGGAGGGAAGGGTAGACCAAGATGTTTGCAATTTAGATAAGCCATTTCTCCAAGGATCAGTTATCCTGAGGGCAGTGAGAAGTAAATAACCTGGTTTCTGAATTTTTTTTTTTTGTTTAATGTAGCTTTGTTAGATAAGGTGAAGGTCCTTTTGCTCCCAGACTTGAAATAATTCCTCCCAAACTTGTAATCCATAGCTCTCTCAGGTCACGTATCAGATGGCAAAAGAATACTTTGCTTTGTTATGGGATCTTTTAATGGCTACTTAAATTTCTATTGATTCTTTTTTTCATATAAACACATCTTTGTGTCATCCTGGATAGCTTTGATGAAGACTGTCCCCTGTTAGCTCAGAATCTGCTCTGCCAGCTGGAGTAAATGATCACAGCTCTCTGCATGTTTTGGGATGTTCTCATCGCCCTGTGCCTACAGCACCATCGCAAGTTCTGCCTTGTCTCATCAGGCCAGTCTAGGTAGAAGATGCTCACTTTAGAGTGCAATGTGGCTTTAAAGAGGGGATACGGGCCTTTGAGGGAAAAAAAGTAATTCCTGTAAAGCACCAATTGCAGCTGGTTCGTCTACGGGCTGCGCTTGGTGTTAGTATTTTTAATTTTCTCCTCTTGATTTCCTTTCCCTGTGACTTAACGCTTCAGATCTGTTTGCAGCATTTACATCGTCCTCCAAAGCTATGTGTGGTTGCTCTACTGGCTGTTAAAACTCAGCTGGAACTTGCAATTTAAAAACGTCTGACCCTTTTCTGAGCTCGTACCCTAGAGTGTGCTCAGATCTTCCTCAGCCTTCCTCTTCTCCGGGGCTTCGGAGGGGCTGCGTTCACGCAGCAGTAGCAATAGCGCCTTCACCTTTCAGGTGTGCAGGCATTTGAATACAGTGCAGTGTGTAGAATAAACCCTGTTCTGTCATCTTCTCTCTAATTCCCTCTCTGAAAACAAGGGAAAAAAAAAATAAGACAGTGCTTGTACCTTGGTGCTTTTCTAGGCTGTTCCCCTATTGTTTTCTACACTCCTTGTGCTGGTCCAGCCCTCGTGGGTCAGGCGTGCAGCAAAAGGTCCCAGAACCTGGTCCCAGCAAACCACGATGTCACTGTCATTTCTCTGCAAAGATACCAGAGTAGGTGCTATATGCAATCACTGCCTTACCACTGTCAAAAGTCAGGTCTGCTTTGTATTTTGTGTAGTCTTGTGATTATTTTGATGTTGGCTGTAATTTAGACTGTTATTGTTGGCTGTTATTTACAGTTGCATTTTAAGAATCAGGAGGAGAAGGGTCTGCTGTTTTGGTGCACTATCCATAAGTCCATGGGAATCAACCCATATGGAAAAGCTGACTTATTGCTCCCTTAAGCTAAAGGGCTGTTAAATTGCTGGTGATGCACTTTAATCATGCCAAGATCAGCAGCGCTACGGCCTGGAATACAGAAGGGAGTTCCTGCCAGGTAGCTTCCTCCCTTTTCAGGTAGTTTCCTCCCTTTTCAGGGGCTCAGTGGGGTGTGTTGTGGCACTTTTGAATACTGTGAATTCCCCCTCGCCCCGATTGCTTCCAAGAACAAAATGTTTTGCTACAAGCGGTTTTACTGAATTGTTCAGATCTGGCCACACTGAGCAGCACGGAATTTGTGTTGACAAAAAAACCCACCACCCCAAAAAAAAAAGTAGTCAGGAGAGTTTCCAGTAATGGGGTTGAACCTCCTTACCAAGATCCTACTGAGATCTGTACGCAGCTTACGTTATTAAACAAAAATTGTTGTCAGTGTGGCAGTTTGTGATAAAAAGCCAATCTGCAGGATAACTTTCAGTGTAATGATCTTTGGAACTTCTTGTTCGGTGTAATCACGGTGTTTACCACCTGCGTTTGTCAAGTTCTTAATTCTTTTTAACTGAAATAGTATACATAAGATATCCCAATGTTACAGTTGATTTTCCTTCCTATAGAAGAATAAGCTATTGCAGTGTAAGCACGTTGTGTGTAGTGGTAACTGCCCAATGTTTTATTGCTTTAACTTAAGTCTAAGTCTAAATAAGTAGGGATTTGCCAAGCACTGCTCTTCTTCTAGGAAGTGCAGACTTGAGGTATGGGTTGAAGACCCAGCTGAAAGCACTCGGCCACAACACTTAGGTTGCAGCGCAGACGAGATATTGGCCGGGTGCTGTTGCTTCCCTTTGCTACAGACGCAGCAGTTAACGTGGAGTCCTAAGTCAGAAATGCATTTGTTTGAAGGAGCTGAGCGTTCACCCGAGATGGGTACGAACTCGGGTTCTCCGAATAAGTCATTGGTGCCTCGTAGCGGACAACAGTTCTTCTCTCTTACGGTGGTTTTATGATGAAGTGCAATACGAGAGAAGAGGTCCTTGGTAATCTTTAGCTGCACATCTGTTAAAGCATTGAGCGCAGCTGCCCAGACTAGAAAGTTTTCACTGCTTTTCTCTTCGGTGACATTGGTTACTGTTCCTCAGAAACCTGCTGAAGTCTCACTAAACCAAGTGTACCTGATGGTCAGGTTTCATTTCCCAGATCCCTCAGCTTTTCAGCCAGGCGTTTTGGCACCAGTTATCCCCAGAACCAGCAGATTCCTTACTTTGGTGGGTGTTTAAATACAGTATGGGAACCATGAGGCTCGCAACTGTATAGTGCTGCCAGCACATTATAGTGCTCTGCAGAATGAGACCATATGTGTATGTAAACGCTGTCCTGGCAGCCAGTCCTGTACATGCTTTGCATTTACCCCTGAAAGTCCTTCCAGTTCAAGTGCCTCTTCTCAGTTACTCTTGTTTACTGACATGCACAGCACAACAGTTCTCTCCGTGCCCCTCCTCTGCTGGGATGCACGATCGAGCCAATTTACCCTCAACAAAGCCGCCACATGAATTACAGAGACCCTTTGGAGCAGCCCCCCAGAGTGCTTATTTCTTCTGAACAGTGGGTGTTTCCGCAAAGACAGATAGGAACTTTCAGCCTGCGTTACATATTTATTACGGTGCATGACTGTGATGGAAACCATAACTCAGCTTGGCAGGGTCTGCTCCATCCTTCTGCATCCAACATGGATTGTATCTGCTACTCAGAAGCTGTTCTTGCAGAGAAAAAGTGGCTGTTGGAGAAATGGAAGTGAAAATGGAGTGGAAGCTCTCTCAAAACCTGTCGGAGTAGCTTGCTTTTGCCTGCTGACACTCTGCCTGGTCTGAGCTCTATCTTATCTTCCACTCCTGGGGGGGAGGGGGAAGCAAAATGCTCTCGCTAGAGGCCTTGGGTGAAGGCTGACCATTTTGGAAGATGCCACGATTAAGCGATTGAAGAAAGAGCCAGCGCACTGGTCTCCATTCTGTCTTTGTCCGTAAGCCAAGCAAGGAACTCCTCGAGTCCTGTGCATGCTCTGGGGCCACCTGGACATGGGCAAGCAGCATCAGGATCCTTGAAAAGGAGGTACTGCACGGCTGTTCTATCAAGAGCAAGAATGAGACCCACAAACTCTACAGGAGTGATAAACTGTGTTTGGAACCGCTTCGAAAGCACAGGTGACCTTCAGACAGCAGCTTGTCTGCTCTGGAAATCCTTCTTCAGTTACCCGTCCTCAGCGGCTGGAATTTTGCTGACTCCTTCCAAAACAAGCGAGACCCTACTTGCGACTACGTGGAGGGGTCCGGCCAGCAGAACGCTCAGCTGCCTCCAGGTGGGTTGTGCACCCCATCAGCTTGCTCTCTGCACCTTATGATGATGAATACAGGCGGCTGTTGTGATTGCAGTCCTGGTTGTCTGTGTTGTTTGACCCTGGTTAATGTGCACTTGGTGCCCGCGCCTCTGTGGGGACACCCCACGCCACCGCAATGCAGAAGATGGCACAGTCCCACCTATTCCTGAGGGATATAGGTGGTCTTGGTGTGGAAATTGCCAAAAATATAATTCTGGCTGGGGTAAAGGCTCTTACAGTTCATGACACGAAGCAGTGCATGAAATGGGATTTGGGGATCAACTTCTTCAAGAAGATGAACTTGGTGATTACCTTGAGAGTCTCCGACTCCTGGAATACGTAACCACAGCTGAGGATCAGTCCAAGGAGATACACGAAGGCAGCAGGAACACATTGTACTTCTGGCAAAGATAAAGATTTGCTGTTCTGGAAAGAGCGATTTCTTGCTGGATCTCCCCAGCGCCCTTCCCTGCAGCCCGTTGTTCCCAGGTATCCATTTCTTGGGTAGACAAACTCCACCTTTCGGTATACGCCTACACAGTCACTGGAGTAACAAGCAGGAGTGCTTGCTAAACAACATCTGTGTGTTTGCACTATTTAAAAAAAAACAAAAAAAAAAAGGCACGTCTCGCAAAACCGATGTCCTGTTTTTGTGTCCTGCGTGTAATGAATTTAATTAAATGGAGCACATTCTATGATAACATAGGTTTATTTTTTCCATTTGTACTGCATTTCAGGGAAAACCTTTAAGTAAAGGCTTGTTACCAGTTAAGCAGCCTGGCATCTTCCTGTGTGTCCATTTCCCGGGAGGGAGAGGCCTGCCATCCCTCCAGGATGCTTCTTGTCTGTATTTGCAAAATTTTGCAAAAAGCCAGCGGGAACGGCAGCAGGGGAACAGGTTTGGCTTCATCTCCTGAGCCAGCTTGAAGAAGGACTTAGAATCATAGAATGGTTTGGGTGGGAAGGGACCCCTAGAGGTCACCCAGCCCAACCCCCCTGCAGGAGCAGGGACACCTTGAACCACATCAGGTTGCTCCCAGCCCCGGCCAACCTGGCCTGGAATGTTCCCAGGGATGGGGCCTCCACCCCCTCTCTGGGCAACCCCTGCCAGGGTTTCACCGTCCTCAGTGTAAAGAATTTCTTCCTTAGATCCAGTCTAAACCTACCCTGGTTTAGTTTAAAGCCATCCTCCCCTTGTCCTGTCCCAGCTGGCCCTACTAAAAAGCTTGTCCCCCCCTTTCCTCTGGGCCCCCTTGAAGCCCTGACCGGCCACACTCAAGCAACACTTGCTGTGTTGTTTTTAAGCTGGTTCCCCAGTCCCACTGCCACCAACAGCCATAGCCACTCCAGGTTTCCAGGAGGGGCAACCACCACATTGTGGCAGTTGCTGGGAGGTTACTTAGCCCTTCTCCAGCTGATTTTAATGCTGTTTGCTTTGCCTGTGGGATGGAAGCAGCCCTGGTGAAGCTCCCCGGCTCACTAGAGGGCACCCGCCGGCCGTGCACGGCGTTTGCGGGACGCTGGCAGTTCCCTTGCAGCTCCTTGCCTCCAGCCCGTGCAGGCTGAACCTTTAAGGCTGGCATAAATAAGTTGCACTGGGGGATCCAAGTCCCATGGTTGGGCTTTCCTTATTTGCCTCTTGGTTTACGGTGCTGGTGGGGACCGGCAGGCAGCAGGCAATCCGGAGGAAGACGGATGAGCACACTCTGCTCCTCTCTGTTGTAAACTCACCCTGCGCACGCCCAGCAGTGATTTTATCACCGGTTGCTTGCCAAAGGGGAGATGCTGCTTTGAAGACCATCTCCATTGCTTTGTAGGAAAACTCTAAAACTCCACCTGTGGCATCAGAAGAGGAGAACCGGAGCCAGTTCCCCCGTCCCTGACACGCAGTCAAGGTATTTCTGGTCCTGCCCAGCTCCCCCCTTGCTTGTCCCCCGCCTGCGTTTCCACCAGCAGGTTTAGGTAGGGCTGGTGTCCAGGATCACCTCTTGGCACCTCTTCCCCTCTCTGCGTAACCTTTCCTTGCACCCTGCCAACAAACCCAACCTGTCCCAATGTGCTCCAAGGCACAGGAGCTGCACGGAGCGGAGCATCTGCGCCTGACCTGTTTGCCGGGGGCTGTGCGGGTGAGATCCCCCCCCCATGCTCTGCCTGCCCCGGGCCAACAGCAGCGCCACCAGCAGCAGGCGAAACAAATCCTCCTGGCTTTAACAGAAAAGGCACTGGAGGAAGGTGGGGCTGCTCACCTCGGAATTTGACTTCTTAACAGGGGCGGCTGGCCCGACGCACGGCTGTTCATCCCGGATGGAAAAGCAGCGTTTCATCTTCCTTGCCAGTGCAGCCACGATGTGTTTCTGCAGCAAAGAAATACTATTCTGTATCTTAAAAAATAAAGGATCCTTTCTTTGCTGTAGCCCATCAAATAGCCAGAGCTTGGTATTCCCACCCTGCTCAGCTTCTGCCTTCTGAGATCCCTCATCCCACCGTGCCTCTTTTTTCTTTTTTTCCTCTCTCATCTTTTTGTAAGGGAGGGATTATTTTGGGGCAGCCTTTGTGGCACTCCCAAACTCCCTTAAGCAGTTTCAGGTCTGTGCAAAACCGAGGTCTGAAACCTGGGCTCTTCAGCCAGTTGCTGGGAGCCAGCGCCACATCTTCCTCCTCTGCCTTGGGGGAGCAGACAGCAGAAGCAGCCCCCCCAAAAAATAAACTCTCACTTCATCCAAACACCTTCCCCAGACCTGCCAGCGACCCAAATCTTGGCACCGAGGGGAAAGAAAAGCTCTCCAAAACCCAATCTTTCTGGTGGGAGCCACACCACTGCTGTCCCAGCCACCAGCCCAGACTGGGAGACCCCCTGAAGGTCTGGTTGGGGTCTGCAACTGGAGCTTACTGGGGCGAGGAGGCAGGCGGTGCGAAACCTCGCCAGCAGAGCAGGCTCAGCACCG